TGGCCAGAGGGGCCGATGGCGCGATATGGCAGCCTCGCTTCTGTCAGTCTGCCCCAGGGCAGCTGTGGCTACAACTGTAGCTTGCCTCCACCAGTGTGTGAATGTGAGAGTGAATGAATAGTGGAATTTTAAAGCGCTTGGAGGGTCTCGAAAAGCGCTATATAAATGCAATCCATTATTATTATTATTTTTGCTGCTTTCTGTTTCTTGGCAGCATAATTTCAAGGAGAAATATTGCAGTGCTGTTATTTAAAACTTTTAATCTTGTTAACACGTCCTATTTTTCACACGCTAGTCTCGTCAGGAGTTTAAAAAAGAATAGCAGTCTATGCCACGGCTGAGTATTTCCTGGGTGAAGTGAGCGTTAATGACATTCTCAAAAACTGAGCCAGTGTTTGAGCAGCTTTAGCACTTCTCTTTTGTCATAGATGGCGATGAGGAACACTAGCAACACCTCATCAACCTCATGAGTGTGAATATTGCTGTTCCTTTAGAATAACATTAAAAGCATACCATTACATTGTGCCATTCTCATATCTAAACCCTCTACAATTTTCTCTTCTTCTTTAGAATTGTTTTCTACTCAAACATATGAACATATGCCGTAATTACACCTTAATTACTGCAGTATTAGAACTTGCCATTTCTTAACTCAGTTTAAGGAAGTTTTACCGAGTTTGATGAAGGTAGGTGAGATGATAAAAGAAGGCACAAATTAAACGAATACTCACTTTTTCATTTTAACTCAAGAGTCCACGGATTTATTTTGTGACCTTTATGTTGGGAAACATTGGACTAAACAATGTAAACTGTCCATAAAGTAGTGACCAACACACTGATCGTCATTATTATCAGTCAAACAGCATCATAACTTACTTTTTCGCAGGGGACACAAGATTGATTGCGAATGCTAGACCTTTTTTTTGTAAAGCACGACATATAGTTTATAATAAAGTGAAGATCCAAATACTTTATAACACTCTCGTTTCTTTCTCCCTTGCAGGACTTTACCATGACGCTGTACCTGCGTCATTACTGGAAGGACGAGCGGCTTTCCTTTCCAAGCAACAACAACCAGAGCATGACCTTTGACAGTCGCCTGGTGAAGAAAATTTGGGTTCCTGACATGTTCTTTGTTCACTCTAAGCGCTCTTTCATCCACGACACCACCACCGACAACGTCATGCTGAGGGTATATCCTGACGGCAATGTGCTCTACAGTCTCAGGTAAACCGCACGGCGTGTCTCAACATGGCAAAGAAAGACTCGCTCACTCTGAGAGCTTTTAACCCTGAAAGTGCTTTTCGCAAGCACTTTATATTTAATAGGCACAGTGAAAGGAAGGCTTAATGAAAATAATGAAAACCACCACAATATAAAAAGGTTTCATTCCAAAAAGAGAGAAACAAAACAACCTTAAAACACACAACCAGATATAAGAAGGTCATACAAACATCTCTAAAAAGGTCGCCTTTGATTTCCCGTGTGGAACATCGCAGCAGGTCCATCAGCATTTCGTGGACCAGCTTTGATTATTCTAATCAGCGTGGCAGAGTGGAGAGGAGAAGTGAAGTCATTTTTTTAACCTCTATTCAATCAGGAAAGTCATTTCTAAACCCGTTTGTGTTCCAGTGACGCTGTGGCATAAGGACACTTGATTAAAATGGGAGAAAACAAGTGTGAGAGTGGATAGAACTCAAACAACACTCCAGTGGGAGACTGTATAAGAAGGGACCTGGAAAAAAAAACATCTTTAATAATGCTCTTTCAAAAACGGCTATATAAAAGGGACACGTCAAGTCAGAGTCTCATTATGATGCACAAAAGAACAAGCTTTTGAAACCTGTTTCAAAAGTTTAGAAACCTGCATAAGGAGATTTTTGAAGCTGACATTCCTGCTCCTCTGATGTGTCCTGCCTGTTTTCCCTGCAGAGTCACAGTCACTGCTATGTGCAACATGGATCTCAGCCGCTTTCCCCTGGACACCCAAACCTGCTCGCTGGAGATTGAGAGCTGTGAGTGAATTGAACAGAATCTGGCCAAACATGTTTGTCAGACACATCTCTTATTTTCTCTGGGAATCTTTTCTCTTCATTTTCTAATTCTATTCCCATAACTTCACCAGTGCCAAGTCTGGGAAAGTCCTAGGATTGTAATTGAAACTCTCAGCATCTACGAGAAGCTACTGGGGCTTTGGATTCGGCACCTTTGTCGTGTTTCTTCTGTTTTTTATTTCGGACTGACGTTATCTGTCTGTTTGTTCACATTTCCTCTGCAGATGCGTACACAGATGACGACCTGATGCTTTACTGGAAGAAAGGAAACGAATCCCTGAACACAGACGACAGAATATCTCTGTCCCAGTTCCTCATCCAGAAATTTCACACCACCACCAAGCTGGCTTTCTACAGCAGCACAGGTACCGTAATCCACAACCCGCCTACTTCTAAGTCAGACACCGAAATCAAACCGATTATGTAAATGCGACAAACGCACACGTAATGCATGCAAAACTAAATCACAATTGAATTAAAACTTCAATAATTCTAATTTCCCTTTGTAAGTCTTTTTCAGCTAAAGGATCAAATCTTCCTTACAAGAAAACGGTGTCCGTTGAATTATACACCAAAACGACTACACTAATATTTTATCCTTACTGCGAAACAAAATGAATCAGACTCCTGCCAACTACTTGTATGCTGCTAGAAAGCCACACTGAGAGCCTGGCAGCCTTTTGATTATCATATGTCACTTTCCAGAGCAACCTGAAGCATAAAAGGGATTTGGTGTCCTATCATTCTTTGCCAGAATAGCTGAGAACCTCTGCTTAAAGTGCTGATATGGTATATATGCCAGCCGGCGTATGACAGTGTGTGAATAATGGTGATATTTCTTCTTCCTAGGCTGGTACAATCGTTTGTACATCCACTTCACCCTGCGGCGCCACATATTCTTCTTCCTGCTGCAGACTTACTTCCCTGCTACTCTCATGGTTATGCTCTCCTGGGTGTCGTTCTGGATTGACCGAAGGGCTGTCCCCGCCAGGGTACCACTAGGTACGCTGCGCTACTTAAATCAACTATTATTTTACCTTACTTTTATTTTAATTAGAGATTAAAGATTAAAGACTAGATTATATATTAATACAGTAAATTAGATAATTCCAGATGACAATCCAATAAAATGACCTTCATTTCTTGCCATATTACCACCGAGTGAGATAAAGCGCAAAAATGAACGATGAAGTAAATCAATATGTGGGGTTGGGGTTTTTTTTCCATGTTTATAGTGCTGTGCAAAAGACTTGAGCCACCTTTCCTTTCTTTATTTTTTGCTTCAAAGGAGTCAGACTTTCTCGTAACTCTCTTGAGCACTTGGAACATTTTTTTTAATTCCTTGTGTTTGAACATTTTCAGAGGAATGTTTTGTTGTTTGTTGAGCCGCTTTACAATGACCAGTTTTATATCTTCAGGCACGTTGTTACTAGCAGCAAAAACACAACATTTGTTCCCATTTATTTAACCGAGTCTTTGAAAAATTTCCATAAGATAAGACAGCTTGACATGCATTGAATAGTATCTTTTGCACCAACCAAGTCTTTCCCAAGGAGCTAACTGGTGGAAACTTGGCTGACCTTGGCATTATGTGCAGTGTGTCCTTAAAAAATGTGAGGAGAGAAAAGAAGACGTGAAAGGCCTAAAAAGCTATCTGCAGCAGATGAACACTATCTGAAAGTCAACAGAAAAGAAATATGGGAAAGAAATATGTAAATACAGAAGAAATATCCTGCAAATACGCGACACGTGAACTATTGCTAAAGCTTAATGAGAAATAATCTCAGTGGAAGAGTCGCTGTCAAAAATTCTTAAGGAAGGTAAACAATGAGAAAATACTGAGGTAAATTACACAACGGACTAAAGGGGATTAAAAGTGGACTAAAAATCAGTGGCAACAGGTCTTATGTAGTGATGAATCTAAATTTACATTTTTTGGATCAAATCTTTGTCAGTGTACAGAGATCAGAAAGGAGGTAGAACAATAAGTGTCTGCAGCCATGTTCCCATGTATGTTTGCATATTTCTATAAATTATTGTATCTATTTCTCATTTTCCTAGCAAAATAATCAATGAGCCAAACTTTTGCATAGTACTGTATATGCTGTGGTTGGCACTGTTAAATAATAGAAGAAGCTTCTTTGTTTGAACCTCTTGGTTGGCTGGGGCTTGTGAAGCTCGCGTGTTCCCCATGCTCCCCGTCTCCTAGTGGGTTTTCTACTGGTGCTTTCCAGTTTCTTCCCACAATCCAAAGACATGCATGTTAGGATCATTCCTCTTCTTTCAGCTGTTCCCATTAGGGCTTGCCACAGCAGGTCATCTGCCTCCATCTCGCTCCATCATCTACATCTGCATGTTAGGTTCTAAACTGTACGTGGGTACTTCTTTCTATGTAAAGCACAGTGAGAGTGGCAAATGTACCACATAAGTAAAATTTCCATTTCATTCTTGAAGCAAAGAGTTATCAGCTATGCTAGAAAACACTAGGCTAAACGCTGCGTATCGTTTTCACTATGCGTGTTAGCATGGTAAGGCTAGCTAACCAGCTACCAACACAAGAAGAATTTATTAAGAAACTAAAGACTCTGAATCTTTAGCTGATAGTGAAGTTATACAGGGAGTTTAGCGCTGACTTGGCAATCCATCCGACAGTCGTTTGATTCAAAATTTAAGCCAAGTGGCGCTAGCAGAAAAAACTGACATAAGCTGGGTTATTAGAATTCAGCCTAGGAAAAGCATGAATCATCGTACGTTTCACAGTATTATGCAATAATTATCTGAGCTGGGACAAATTTTACTAGTGGAAAAATTTTAGGGAAGACATCTAGTGCATTTTTTCCTTATCCTCATCACTAATCATCTCAAATCCTTTCAGGGGGTCCAGACCCCCAGTTTCCCATCAGCTTTCACAGTGAGTAGGTGGAAGCTATTAGTGGAATCTCACCAAAGTCTATAGTGAACATAAAGATTCAGATTTATTACACCCCAAATGTAGCCATTTCCGAGCTATTTAGTCTGTGGGAGACTAAATAGCAACACAGCTGTGACTAAACTTTGTTCGATTCCCTTCAGGCATCACCACCGTGCTGACCATGTCCACCATCATCACCGGGGTCAATGCTTCCATGCCTCGGGTCTCCTACATCAAAGCTGTGGACATTTACCTCTGGGTCAGTTTTGTCTTTGTCTTCCTTTCGGTGATAGAGTACGCAGCGGTGAACTACCTCTCCACCGTACAGGAGAGGAAAGAGAGGAAGCTGAGGGAGAGAGTAAGTGTTCCTTTCATGTTTTTCCCTCCTCTGACTTTGCCTCTGGTTAAGAACAGACTTAACTTTTGATTTTATTTTAATGGCTCACGCTGACAAATTTTACACAGATACTTTATCTTCACCACATCGGTGTAATGACTTATGCAGCAGCATGTTTTATTCTGACACATTTATTTAGTTTTAGAAGTAGTGTGAGGATGCAAATATCTAATTTTTCTTTTCTTTTTTTGGATAAGCTGTGAAAGCTACAACCTAAAACAGTACTTAACAAATTTGTTTGTCCACTGCCCAATGTAAGGTTTATTTTTTATGTATTTAGTGGTTAATGCTAAAATATAATTATTTTAGTCATCCATTCATTTTCAAATTTAGAGTAATAAAGCACACTATTATTTTTTAATTAGAATCTCAAATTACTTATTTTGCTTGCATTTCCTGAACAGAACTATTAGTTTTTAAAAATATTATACTTGATTAAAGTCTTGTGAGCTGGCTCAGATTTGGGAATAAAACATTTATTTACCTGATAAATAATAATACAATTTTTAGTTTTAAACAAGTTTTTTACAGAATTCTAAAATATGTGTTTTCTTGTTTTATGACAGGTTAGGCGCAGTAACTGCTTACCTGTTTGATATTCATTCTAATTTCTAATTTTCGAATTTCCACAGTACGTCATATTTTTGGTACAGTACATTTTTTCCCTTTGTAGTTCTAAATTTTTCATTTGAAGCTCTTGGCCATGTCGTAAATCTCAGGTTTGTATTTGCCTCGCATTGTACTGGAATTACTTTATTAACTGAGCGTTTCAAAACATTATCATCATGACCATAAATAAGGGAATCTAATATGTCATTGCTTATAAGAAGTGATCAAAATGCTCTGCTCATACAAAAATTTTTTTAAATTTGGCCAATCATACCTTAAAGAGCAAAGCTGTTTCCAGCATAGTTGTTTTTAGATCACTCGCAAAAGTCTGTTCTGACAAATTATACAGACACAAGTTTGCAATTTCTCCACGAACCTTAAACTGGCACGAAATGTGAACAACATCAGTGTCAAAATGAACAGACTTTCACTTAAAGAATCATATCGATGACAGCTGGGTCTGAGAGACCAAGCAGCTGTTTTCAGAGGAAGAGTCTATAATGTTCAAGCCCAAAGATAAGTGTGCTCAACTTTTCAATTGACATTGCTGGAGAAAGTGCTCCTTGAGACTTCCTCCTCTTCCGCAAAATGCTAATTGAAATTCAAGATGAAGGGTTTCTGTTTTGACACACGGATGGACATTGAACGTGCACTGCAGACTAGTGGTTAGTGTCAAAAGTAGCAGCTGGAAATGTTACAGAGCCGCACAAGTAACAACCTTCAACAGATGCACTTTGTGTATATGTTTATATACCTAATATATCTCAATTGTAATTGTACTACCAATCTGTGAAAATGCTCTACTTTTCTTAATTTAAATCTTGTTATTGGTACATGGTTATTGCAAATAAGACAGTTAATAAAACCAAGAATGGAAACATTTACGAGATGTATTAATAGTTTCGTCTAAGTCGACTCTGATTAGGCTGACCTGAATTTTATACTGAAATATTTTCCATATTAAAATAATTATAAACTGATGAAAACATGATTTAATAATTTATATGCATTTCCAATAAACAGATATATTTTCTTAACTGGCTTACTTTAAGCTGCTCTCAAGGCTATGGCAAATTATTTCTGGGACTACAGCTCTTTAACTATATTGGTATTCTTCATCTGCCAACTGCTGCGGCATATGGAGCCAAATTGCCCACGTACCCCGAGGAAGATTTCCAGCACAAACATCCTTCCATAAATGTTTCCTACCAAAGTTATTTAAAGGCCATGAGTGTGCAGACAATCATACATATAGGAGGAATTCACTTATTTATAATGATAGAAAGTCTACTGTAATTCATAACTCTTCGTGTGTTTTTCGCTAGCTTCCATGTACATGCGGCATTGGCAACCCTGATGAAATGATGATCGACCCCCAGATCACTGGATATGGGTCCACAGATGTCAACATCACAGGAAATTATGGGTTGCCAGAAAACGGGGGCCGCCAGGAACGAATTTTGGCCCAAGTGGCACTGAACGACCCACAGATCACAGGCCAGGTGAAGGCATCTAGAGGCTACGTGAACATCTGGATAGACACCCATGCCATAGACAAGTACTCAAGGGTCGTCTTTCCTGGAGCCTACATCCTTTTTAACATCATCTACTGGTCCATCTACTTGTAACCTGTGATGCATGAAATGCTGTTTTGTGCATGCTGGGACAGCAGGAGCTCAGCTCAGGAAAGATGATGCTGCACTTGAAGTGTTTGGGACAGAGAAACTGCACATGAGATGCATGGGGACCACTAACAGATTGGTGACCATTGCCTTCTTGACCCAGCCACTTAACACCGATGATTAAAAAAGAAATATGAGCGACCAACAAACAGGACAGTCATCGATCAGTTCTGTGGTTTCTGCTGTATCTAGTTCTGGTGACAGAAAGATGTCTGGATGCTGTTGTTGCCTGAGGACGCAGAGATGCACGTACATGGACTTGTGTCACTCTTCAGGCTAACTACTTCTTTTCAGTTCTAGATGCAGTGACTCCAAGCACACTTTCAACACCGAAAGTGTGAACTGAAAACATACTGACATTGGCTAGCATTGCCAGCAAATAGACGGATCCTTTTTCCTCTTCTTATGAGCTACACCTGACAATCAATAAGAGACTAAAAATATTTAAAGGTATAATTTAACATGTTGAGAAATATGTTTGTTTGTTATCTAGCGGTGAGAAACTTGATACCACTCTCATACTTGTAATTAAATATATGGCTAAATCCAGTAATAGCCAGTTAGCTTAGCATAAAAACCCTAACCAGGTTAAACAGCCAAGGTACTTGTTTCCCTCCAGTGCAAAGCTACCAGCATTTCTATAATAACTACAGCAAGTTATATATTTTGACTGAATCCATACAGAAACAACCATAAAAGCCTCGTTTTATAGGGGGATTAGTGCTACTATTTCTCTACCGAAGTCCTACTATTTTTCCAACGGTATGATTGCCTAGCTAACGCTCAGAGGCAAGAAAGAGTCTGGCAATTAAATTCCCAACAGAATGTCAATTTTTATAAAGATTAAAAAAACAGATTACATCTTGTTAATTAGTCAGCCTTTGAGGTGGTAGTTGGCAAATTTCGCCCAGCTGCTTCCCCCTTTTCCCCAGTCTTGTGTACTCAGCTCAGCCGTCTCCTGGCTAGACCTTCATATTTACTGCAGACATGAAAGTGATATCAACCCACTCTCCCAACTCTGCACGAAAGCAAATAAACATCTGAATGAAAGTAAATGTTTTTATTTTAAAAAAAAGACTAATTCAGAGCTTATTCTTGAAGTTCCACGTTTCCTTTCCAGCATGTTAATATGATTCAGTTTAGCTTCAATTTTCTTGTGAAATTTGTATCAATGCAGTTATTTTGCTGTCAAGCTACTGCGCTCCGTTTGTGTGACTTGACAACGTTGAGTAAAAAACGCAAAGTAATGCAGTCTATTAAAACAACAAATGTAAAAATGTATGTTTAGAAGTCCCATGCACCGACTATGATATTAACTCTTTTTATTTTTTAATGTTTCTTCTTTTATTTTTAAATACAACTGAAGCTCATCTCCTCTGTTTGGTGTTGTGAGGCTTTGAGGTTCGCTGTGACCTGTTAGTTGCTAGTTTTAACGTCTTTTTCAGCTTAAAAACAACTTTATACTTTGTTAGGCAAAAGATATTTAAAAAAAATATTACAGGTATTTAAAACTGTCATGTATAGGAAGATGTTTAATAAATGTTTTGGTTTCTGAAAATCGGAGCTTGAGTGCTGAACATCGTAGAAACAGAGAGATGCTTAAAACCTAAAACACAACACTTTGGATCATTTGAACACAGTTGATCCCTTTATTTTAATCACATTTTTCTGCTCACTTACACAGTATATTTAAACAGTCCAGGAGGATTTACTGTTATTAGTCACTGGGTTGCTCACAGCTCCAAGGTCTTTCTTCTCGCTCTGGCACATGTCTGAGTGCTGATGAGCATTTAAAACAAATCATATACACTGCGTATTATGTAATGCCATTAACAACTCATGTGTAAAAGGATATATACATATACAATTACATTAAGGCTTTCCTCACAGAAAAGTGAGACAGTGGGATATGTTGAAGCATGTTTTTGTTGTTTTTTTTTGATCCAAGCAACATCCCAAAGGTGTCAATTTAAACTTTATGCACCATCTTCTAATCTAGTGAAAAAAATGCGAACAAAGGCATCACCACATCAAAGCTGGCAGAAAAGGATAAAGCATCAAAAAGATGTCCATAACCTGATTTTCCACCACATCTGGGCCCACTCTTGAGAGCCAAGATTTTTTATCAAGCTGTGTAGCTGATGAAAGTACGCCTAGAAATCTCAATGACCGAGAGAGAGTTAGTATGATCATGCAATCAAGTACAATAGGGCTATCCGTGGATAGAGTAATACATTTAGGGTTGATTTATTTAGAGGTTTGTGGTGTAAAACTGTGAGTGTATGCCAAACTCATCATCAGTAAATTCATGTTGTCCATTACCACAGACTAGAAAGATATTAGATGCCTTCATGTGTTCCCTGTTAAACTCACGATTGAATTTAAAATCCCTCTCCTCACATGCAAAGTCCTTCATATCTTAAAGAAGTCATAGTACCATATTGTCCTACCAGAGACTTGTGGTTCATAGTTTTAAATGTAGAATGGGAGGCAGAGTCTTCAGCTTTCAGGGCTCTTTTCTGTGGAACCGGCTCCCAGTTTGAATTTGGGGGACAGACACCCTCTCTACTTTTGAGATTAAGCTTAAAACTTCTTTTTGATAAGGCTTATATTTAAGGCTGGATCAGGTGACCCTGAATCATCCTGTAATTAAGCTGCAATAGGCTCAAGCTGCTGGAGGAGTTCCAATGATGCACTACAGCATGCGATTACATTTCTTTTTTCTTTCTATTGTTTGCTTTCAGTTTGGTCTTTTTTTGATTCTGCTCCTCCCTGATATTGAGTCTTCTGGAGGTTTCTTCCTGTTAAAACGGAGTTTCTCCTTCTCACTGTCACCAAGTGCCTGAACATAGGGGACCATCTGATTGTTGTGGGATTTTTCTCTTACGCTCAAAGATCTTCAGCAAAAAATATAAAGCGCCTACCTGTTGTTATTTAAACCGTATAATTTCTCCTAGATGTATTTCTAATTTCAGTGTCATGAGGGAGTTCTATCACTGCCACGGGGTGCTGAGGCAGGCCGTGTGAGAATATAAACAGACCCAAGATGCAGACTGCTTAAGTTGTGAGCAAGCTTTATTAAACAAAGGGTGAAACAAACAGGGACGAGGAGAAAGAAAACCAAAACCTAAGAATAAACTAAACTGGGAAAAGCTACGCAAAAACAAACCTGAAACCTTGAGTCGAGAAACAGAGATGCAGGGAGAACATGAAGGGGAACAACACAGACGAACCAGCAACGACTAAGACAGAAGACACGACTTAAAAACACTCAGAGAACACAGGGAGATTACACACAGGTGGGAGTGATTAACGTGACGAGACTAGGGAGGCGAACTGAAAACACTCACATAAGACGCAGACCTTCACAATAAAACAGGAACTTACACATGCAAGGACACAGACTAAGAAACGCGGACTTGATACAGGAACACACGGGCAGGACAGAGTAAACACTAAACAGAGGAAGAACAGAACCAACAATCACACTAATAGAAAACACAAAACGCTGGGTCAAAAGGACCCAGGACCATGACAATCACTGCCTTCCAGTCACTTCTGTTTCAGTTGGGCCAGTCTAAAGTCGTCTCTCACTTTCTTAAGCAGATCAGGACAGCACACTACATCCACAGCTGTCATAGACAGGGCCTTGGCTGCCCTCAGGGTGTACAACTGGGCCTTTTCAGCTCCTGGCAGAGTAAGAAATATAAAGGACAGAGTAAACAAGAAAGAGATGATGGCTAAATTTCTCTTATCACAGTCTGATTCGGTTTAATTATAAAACATCAGTTCACAAAAGCCACGTGCCAAAATACCTGCTGCTTCGGTGTATTCCTCCGTATGATTTAATGCATCAGTGCAGATGTAGAAAAACGGATGAATACCAGGGACTATGAATGACACATTGCCAAAGTCTGTAGAACCTGCCAGGTGATTATAATTCACTGTGATAGTGGTTCAGTGTCGATTCAGTGAACAACAATGCTGAAAAAACGCTAGATTACAGTTCTGCTGTTAGACATTTTGTTGTATACAGTTCTTTTGCACAGAGCAGGGACAGAAGTGATTTATAATATTGTCATTTATGCTTACCGCAGAAGCTGGCTGTCTGCTCTGGAAAGTGAATTCCCAAAGCTTTTCCATTGCTTTCATACAGGCTTGCCAGTGTGGCATTAGGTAGAATGTTATAGTAGGTAGGGGTTGGGAAGGTGATCTCCACCTAATGGAAATGCAAGTAAATGTATGACCATAGCACATTTGGCCTGTCATGTTTAACAGCACATAAGGCCATGCATGCATAGTAATGTAACCTGCCTGAAGCACATGCAGACAAAGGAGAAAAGGAGCCTGAAGATAATCATGAATTATGTAACAAGTTCAGCACTTGGACAGTAATTATGGAGATGTGGTAAAAAAGGGGATTGTTATATAACAGCAGTACTCTCTAGCACTGCTGTATCAACATAGACTGCTTCTACATGTCTCCAACATACAGGAAAGCAAACTGAAGACGCTTTTACGTAAACATACTTGGCAACCGGTCGCTCCGGCAGCTGCCCTGAAGCAAGCTTCAGCTTTAGCTTTCAGGTCACAAAGATCTTTGGGCAACGGAACGCGCAAATAAAACTCTAATTCAGTGTATGCCGGGATAATGTTGGGCTTCTCTCCTCCGTGTTTGATGATGCCTGTAGCAAAGACAAAATCAGAACGTCAATAATTCAGCAGCTCACCCGGCTCATGATCAATCACACTTCACAGTATCCTGTGAAGTGTGTGATACAGAAAGAAAGTCATAAGTTGCCTTGTCTTTGGAGGACTGCACTGCACAAACTAATGAGTATTAAAATCCACTGACACGTCAAAGACCAACAAATGTTTTAGAATGGTTTGTTCCAAAGACCCCACTGAATTTGGGCATTGTGCTGTAACAGGATGCACCAAGTCAGTCTGTGAAGTTTTTCCCCTCTTAGATATGTCACAATCAAATTTAAGAAGTATTATTGCAAAGTGGAAATGTGCAGAAACCACAGCAGCTAAGCCATGAAGTGTTAGACCACATAGAGCTACACAGCAGGGTGCAAACCTCTTCTGGCATTAAGATCAATACAAAAACTGTATGCTGGGAGCTTCATGGCATGTGTTTCTACAGCAGAGAACCTCCTGCAGCTGTAAAGTATAGGTAGCTTAGTACTATGCATTATATAATATGCATATAGTCTATATAATGTATGTGAACACATCAGCATGTTACAGTATAAACCATATTAATGATTCTAGGAGAATTTGGTGAAATTATAAGCAGTATGCATGGAGGTTATGATATGAAAATGGAAAAACACCTTTAAAACGACAAACAAACAACAAACAAATTTAAGTTGAAGACCTATCAGGTGATCATTGTATGAAAGTTCTGACCCCTACTGAAGGAGGCGTGCCAGTTCCTGTGAATGTGAATGGACAGACAGATAATGATGAGCTAGCTATCAGCTAGACGAACTAATAAACTATGAGGAAGTGAAGGATGAGGAGGCACCTGACGGCACTGAAAAGAGGAGGGGTTTTTTTCCTTCCGGGATTTGTGTCTCCTCCTAGGATGGATCAAAGAAGATATGCTCGTTTTCACCAAGGTCGAGACTAAAGTCTGAAGCTTTAAGTGACCCTGCCACAGCTTTTCCTCACCATGAATCCTCCAGTCTGGTTTGAGCTGCTGTCTGAGTACAGAGATGTTGTTATAGGCCAGGACGGCCGCATCCAGGGCATTCACTCCCTCCCAAGGGTATGCAGCTGCATGAGACGCCTTCCCATAGTACTTCACTAACATCCTGTGTAACATCAGCACGGTCGGTTAAGAGTTCCCGAAAAAATGTGAAGGTTAGGTGTTCGTTGTGAGAGATTAAGAGAGAAGTAAAAGAATTTGAAATGAAGCAGTGAAGAAGAACTCACTCTTCGATCATGATGCAAGGGTGAAACGAAGCATCCTGCTGAGCTGGATGAGCCATGAAGACGAGATCAATATCAGCAAAGGCCCCGGCATTGATTAGCTCAATCTTTCCTCCTAACGCTTCCTCGGCAGGAGTTCCCAGAACAGTTATCTATAATAAAGAGTAAAAGAATATTTTAATGTCAGGTCTGCTCACTGGAATGTTAGTTTCTTTTTAGTTTTCATCAAAACAGAAACACTTTTAAATAAAGACTGGAGTAACAAATCCACCCCCCTCCCCTACATGAGACCACTTTGAGACATTTAATCATAACATATTCTAAAGATAGAAGTTTATTTCCTATTATTGAAAGAATAAATAATAAGACTAATTATTCACATCATATTACATTTGTTGCACTTGTTGAGTCACAGCAAACAGAGCTGGGGATTTAAAGGAGTGCTTGGGATTTTTTTAAGTTTCACAGTATGTCGCACTCGGTTTTCATGGTGTGACTTGTTTAAGTAAGTTAAACCCGGCGACAGTTACCTTCACAGGCACTGGGAGCTCGGTCTGGTTTTCTAAAGCAGCCTTCAGCCCCACAGCGGCCGCAGCGCCCACCTCTGCTATCAGGTTGTGCCCGCACGCGTGGCCGATACCCGGGAGGGCGTCATACTCGCACAGGAATCCCACGTTCAACACTGGGTCTCCCACCCCGCCACCAACTGGACCCCAGCTGGCCCTGAACGCGGTCGGAAGTTTGTAGTGACTTTGGACCGTCCATGTCTGGTCCTGAGAAAAGAAGCGGACAAGCCGGTCGTGCGCATGTTTCTCGTTAGCGGCGACTTCAGGATTGCTCCAAATGTCTCTACTCAGACTGTGCAGCTCGTCTTTGTGTGCGTCTATGCACCGCTGCAGGTCGTCCTTCATCTGCTGTCGTTTCTCCATATCGCCCGACAGCATGCAGGCGTTAGAGCTGGACTCCTAAAAGCACAGGAAATGTATCCCAGTGAAGCATTGATGTGCTTCCCTCTGCTGGCTGACCAAAGGCCGTGTAGCCTACATTTGAAATGAATTTGCTCTCGGCTGGTGGTAGATTGGAACACCCAGAGGGGCGCGCCGTACGCTGTGGCTTCACATGTCCTAAATAAATGAATGCAAACAGGTTAATCATAGGTGTCAAACTCTGGCCCGCGGGCCAAATTTGGCCCGCAGCCTAATTACATTTGGCCCGCAAAGCCATACCAAATTACTATTAGAGCTGGCCTACTGGTATTATACAGCTAATATATATATTGTTTAGTATTAAGCTTTGCTTGTTCCATATTCAGTTTTTCAGCAAAACTTGTTTGAGTCCATAAGAAAAGATTCATTCTTATATCTAGAGGAAGATTTTTTTTTTTCAATAAATATTAATGTTAGCCCGTGACTTTGTTCCAGTTTTGAATTTTGGCCCACTGTGTATTTGAGTTTGACACCCCTGGGTTAAGTGCTTAAAACTGCAGTCCCTCAAATGGCCACGTGGTCCCATTAACTCCTATGTTAAAACGCCCAACTCTACAGCAAGAAAAAGAACATAATATTCTTTAAAAAAAAACAACAACTTAATTACAGTGTTAGCTAGTGTCATAGCTATATTGACTGACACATGCTGAAACAGGCAGACAGAGCTTTCACCCGACTCACAAAACCTGACCTCTCGCTGTGTTTGTGATGCTGATGACTTTGGAGCATCTTTTCCATCCTTTAACAGACCGTCCAGTCTGCAACACAGTTTTAAGACAAAATTTAAACTACACCAGTGTCATTGTGAAAAATGTGCAGTGGGCAGGCCCAGCATGAACAGACTAGAGCAGACCCCACTTAATCCACTTAATCCTGCCCTCAGTGGTGTCCATGATTCTGTACTTAACCCCCCCCCTTCCCACAAAAAACCAAGGACAACATGAGTGGTGTTTTACTTCTCCTTTAATAGGAATGTTGTTGTTGGTGGGGTGATATTGGTCATAGTAGCCAGAGGGGAATCCTGTGAATTTTGCCTAAGGCCCCAAGAGGCGCTGCAAGCACCAATATTCAGTTTATGGGTGGACTTTGCAACCAAAACTTGCTAGTGTTAGCAGATTACTTGCAATGCCCTCTTGTGCAATTAAGGTTCACTCTGGCTCCAACAAAAAAAGACATGTCAACATTAAGACGCTAATGCTGAGGCTTCAAAATGACTCAAAATGTCACAGTGATATACTTGGTTTGAAAAGTACTGCTGACTACTTTTATGTCATGATGAATTTCTGAATTTGTCCCACTCATCTTCAAAGCACCTTTACAGGTGTAGATATAATATAGTGAAAAAGTAGTGAACCAGAATTTTAAAAATGCTCTATATAATTGTAATAAGTCTAATATGAGCATAAATTCCTATTTAGTGCCAAGGATGTTCCTCTTAATAGCTTTTATCAATCAAAATTATCGGTGGAGATCTAAAATTATTCAGAATATTCATAATTTACTTGATACAAGTGAACTGTAATTCCACAATGTTAAAAAAAATTCTCACAATATAATGTCAATAAACCAAACTGCCTTTTTTGCTTGTAATGGAAATTGCGATTACCCAGCGATACCAATCAGTTACGAGGTCTCAACGCGGTTTGAACTGATTAGATGAGAGAAAACACTCCACAGGCTTTTCTACTCACTCTGTTGCCACCACTAGAGGGACCCAGAGCGACATTTGGTAGGAGACTCCTTTTGCTTCTGCTTAGTGAAAGTAAAAAATAAAATAAATCAGTGTTCAGTGTTCTCTTCGTGGGTTAACTTGAATAATTTAGTGAACTGAACATTTATCGAAAAAGCAAACACGGATGAGCCTCAGGGGGTCGATTTATTTATTTGTTCATTTATTGCCCTGCAGTAATTTAGATGACTGTGCAGCGAGAAAACACTGCTTTTGTTTGCAGAGGATGAGCTGCGTATCTGCCCCCGAAAACAAGGTCAATTAGTGCCGTATGAATAAAGACGAATCTCCACAGCTGACACACGCCTAGAGACTGCGCGCTACGTCGGTGTGTGTATGGATATGTGTGGGGCAGCGAGTGAATGAGAAGGAGAGCAGGTGTACATATATGTGGTTTCTGTCTGTATTTGAGTTGGAGGTTAATTGGGGGCAGATGTCAGTCACAGGAGGAGACATGTTGAACAGCGCTCAGCGAGCTGACACCACGACTGCCTCCTGATGTGACCTGTCTGTCAGCTTACTTTACGCCCCGCCGGTGATGCTGACACTCTCCATTGTGCGTCAGTTAAGTGAGGGACGGACCCATGTGTCAGTCCGCTGTCTTATTTAGGGATTTGACCTACGAGCATGTGTTTGATTTCACATGACTACACATGTGTTTGGCCTCAAATCTTGCCCTGTGCATCCAGGAATGAAACATTTGGTTAAGATTTGCTTTTGGACTTATACCACTGATGATCGTCATCAGTTCAAACAAAGGAGCGGCTGTAGATGACATAATCTGGCCTCAGATGAACAGAGGATGTGTCGCTTGAATCAAATTTCAAGCATGTTTCAGGTTGAGCTACCAAAACTGAAGCGATGCATGAGTTATGATATATCCATGCAGGCATCACAACAGCGGGATGCCCCAAAGGAAGGCTGGCTCGACAGCTACAATTAAATGGATGTGCTCCTGATGACAGCGTGCCTCTGAAACGAGACATGAAATAAACAATACTTGGGTGGGTCTTTGTTTTTACAGTCCACTGCACGAGTGCGGCACACATTAATATGGCAGTGCCTTCATTAGAAAACTCATATCTGCCAGTATAAAAAGTCATAATAAAGGAAAAATGTTTCACTTGATAGCACCTTCTTAGATTATCGCAGGTTCATAAAGTTCCTACAGTGAAGGTGCTTCATATTTTAATGGGATCCTACTGATGAGCAATAAACTTGCGACTAAAAAGTTCAGAAATTCTGTTGCTCTCTGTGTTTGCCCGTCATTTTAAATCCATGGTCTCCTGAGACTGGAATAAATGTGCACTCTCCCCAGATTGATGTGAACATTGATAAACACAAATCAATATCCGAGTGAGCTCTGGCCTGGCTCTGTTTGATACAAAGTAGCATTTTCTTCAAAATGTCTCATTTTTAGATGCTAGTATTGTAACTAATGAACTACAAACAGCAGACCAAAGTATGTAAAGTTAATCAATAGATCATTATTTACATTTTATCACCACTTCACTTTGATTCACCCCTTAGCTTTGAGCCTCATATTAACAAACAAAGATACCCGGTTTTGCCAACAGTAAATCAGTAGCATGTCTAAAATAAATCCTCAGCAGCTTGACTTCTTTGTGCTTTTAGCAGACATCATTACCTCACCCATGTGCAAGTTTCTTTCCACTGGCGTCCTGAACTTTTTAGAATTGAAGATTTTAATCTCTTTTAAAGCTCGCCTGGGTCTGGCACTAAGCTACATAACAGAATTATTGTCCCCATATGAGCCTGCTCGCAGCCTTTAGATCCTAAAGTGGGGCCCTTTTGGCTGTTTCAAAGTTGAGATTTAAATAGAAAGGTGACCGTGCTTTTGCCACCAGGGCCCCTCAGCTTTGAAATGACCCGCCTGAGTAGTTCAGGCTTGCAGAGTCAGTGACATCCTCTAAATCACCTTTAAAAAGCTAACTTCTGTAGACTTGCTTTTGAATGTGTTATATGAGGCTTTTACCTTCTGGTTACCATCCTTTTGTTGCCCTGCTAGCTGCCTGCCCCAATCTTTGACTGATTTTATTTGTATTCCTTTTGCTTTTTATGTATCTGCATATTTTTGTCACTTTAATGTCTTTTAACGTTTTTTTTAGTTTTAGCATGACTTTTCTGTTTCAAAACTTATTTAGTGTGGCATTTTGAATATTTTTAAAACTGACGTTATTTTCTCTTTTTTTAAAATTGACATATAAACCCATTAACGTCATTTTGTCCCTCCAGTTTTCCAAGCACAAATCCTCACAAGCTGTTGATGCGTCTGATTATAAACATGAGGTTCCATCTGACTGAAGGAAACTGACAATGTGTCAGTCGTGCTCGCTCTGCCCTGTCAGCATCACTTTCTAAACAAAATGAGCCCTTTGAGGGGTCCCTTGGAAATCCAGCCTGCAGCACTTTAATCACCACAGCAAGACACTCTGTAGTTAGAAAATATCCCAGAGAGCCTCAGAAATGCGTGTGTGGGTGCGTGTGCAACTCGACAGTTCTGTTTCCGTCATTAATGTCACATCAGCGCACACAATGTGCCTGTGCGTGCTTCAAACTGGAATACATTAGCACCTCGGCTTGTCGAGTCGTCCTGGATCTTCAGAAGGTGGAGTGGGGGTGGGATTACACTGTGCGAACATTTGTTCGTGTTTTTGTTATGATGCTTGATAGTTTACGACTGAGCGACAACTTCATCCTGGTCTCCAAGGCATGCAAAGCCACAAAAACAATTAACTATGACTATTTTTCACTCCGTTTTGGATCCACGCATGTAAATTCTATTAAACAGCGACTTCTTCAAAGGCGTAATCCACATTTTCATATAAATGAATGTTTGCTTTGTTATTCTGGATCACTGATTGAAATTACACAGTTATTTACCGTCTCAGCTCACTTCTAGTCGATAAATGCTTTAACATATAACGCGCTGGGAAAACTAATCAGTAGAGTTCCACATTTCTGTCATCTCAAATTTCAGCAGACAAATAATTTGTTTGTAGGCAACAGACTAATTATTATAAGCAGTTTTTGATGTGCAAATCTTCAGAAAAACTGGAAAATTTATCTACCTGGAGCAGTGTATATATATAGCAAACAACTGCAAGCAAAGGAAAGCTACACTGCTATGTGAGCAAGTCTTTTATCTGTTGCTTGTCTTTGTCTTGGGGTGCAGTTTTATTTTGTAGTCTGCTTTTCCCCAGAAGTCCACGCAGCTGCCCTCGCTGCTTCAGAGGCAACC